GTTTGAGAGAGTGCAAGTGTAAACAACGTTCCTCCTCTGTCCTCTCCCCTGCCCCTGCTGATAACTACCCTCTGGTCTAGTTTACGCTGCTGTTTTCGGCCTCTTTGATTCCCTGGCTCAGATAAAGGCTTTCCCGCTCTCCCAGAAGAGGCCCCCAGGATCCCTCATGAGCTCCCCCCTTCTGCGAGCGCTTGTCCCTGGTACAGTGTGTATGATGCACCCCCCCACCACCACCACTGTCAGCTTAAATCACCCTCCTCTCCGGCTCAACATGCTGCTCTCACCACTCCCCAGCTGCGACGGCGTGTTTGCGGCACCAGCGAGCGCGAGCAGATGCTATTGAGGATGACCTTTGCAGCAACGCCCCGTGCTCTATGATTCTAACCCATTTGACAGTGAACATCTAATGGAATGCTAATGAAGTAGCTTGCATAGTAAAAACGTGATGTTCCCTCCGGTGTAATTATCTGCGGGACTATCCCTGATGCACATGATGCACATGACGCACATTGTTTGATTATTAAACTGAGTTACTGTCAAGCGAAGCGCCGGGTTCCTGCTACCGGGTCAGAGATGAAAAATGTCCAAAATAAATACGATCAAACATGAACACTTGTTGCGAAGAAGCTGCAACGTTTGGGACAAGTCACCCCACCCCCACCTCACCCTTTCCCTCCCCCTCCCCCCAGTCACACTTGAAGATCCGACAAGAGATTCTTCCACCGAAAGATGTTTTTCCATCGTCTCACTCCTCATTGAGCTTCTTTTCTTTGCGCTGAAAGAAATCCCTTTGTGAGTGTAGCAGCTAATGCCGCCCGCATGCAGCCTGAATTATAAGGTGAAATAAGTCCATCCATTACTCGGATGGTTAGTCAGACTGCCAGTTTTGAAGACATCTCTATAAATAAGTGAGATTCAGCATAAGGGCTGTGTCTGTGCGCTCGTACCTCCTGTGATGTGAAGCACCACTCTGCCTCAGAGGCTCAGGATTTCTCCGCTCACTCGAACATAAACAGATCTATATATGTATAAAGTCCTTAATAGCTTGTAGCAGTAGCTTTACAAAAGTTATTAGATAGAGGGAAAAATACTCCAAAGAGTAAAAGCGAAGGAGAGGAAGATCTAAACATTGATTCGCCGCCTTTACGTGATGCAGAATGGCACGCCGACTAATATCACTTACTCAGCAGGAGCCGCAGACTGGCACGTTTTAAACGCATGCAAATATTTAGCCACATGAACGAAGTCATTAATCACACCGTGTTTACCGCTAAGTGTTTGTTAAGTGGATGAGTTGCTCTGGCGTTTTTTTTTTTCTGTTTTGTTTAAATATGTGCGTCACCAATTTTTGCGGCGGGGGAACGCTGTGTAAGTTTGTGCTTCTTATAAAAATGTATGTATGTTTCCGCAGGGCTCGATGCGACTGCAAGCTGATTCCAGGCCAGTACAATTACCCGAGGCAGAGTGCCAAGGAATAATGAGACATTTGGTTGTGAAATTCAGAATGTGACAGAATGCATTAGAGCCGAGCAGACTGCAGATGCAAAGGGAACAGCCAGGCCAAAGTGATGACTTCCTATTTCCTGACTATATCATATTTCCCTTTGCTTCCAGCCAAACAAATGACCAAATTGTGCAGCGACTGTGCCTTTGTTTGGACACAGAGTCCTATTGTCTGCCATATTAGATACCCGGATGCATCTGACAGGAGAAATTACTGGTCGTGTCACTCTAGTGTTTTTTTTTTTTGCCTACAAACCTGCTTGAAAGTTTTAGAGCTGAGTATGAAAAATTAGATCCGGCTGCTTCTGTGGTTTTTTTTTAAAGTTTTTTTATTTTAAGAATTCATTTCGAGTAAGGTCATTTTGTTGACATGATGGGACCTTCCCCGTCGCTCACACTGAGTCAGGAGGTCAGGGTGTCCCGCCCGGACGTTTTTTTTTACAGCAGCAGCAGCAGCAGCAGCAGCAGCAGCAGCGTGCCCTTGTGATACCACAGCGAACACACACTATGTGACAACTATGATCTAAGGGAACAAATAATGTGACAGCTCCTCAAGCTCCCAGGCAGCCTGCTCTGCCCGCGGGGGAGTAAATGAATCTGATTTTTCATACTTCTGAAAGGGTTTCGACTTGAGCTCGGGCACGAGGTCAGATGTAAAGATGTAGCCGGTCTGACTTTTTACATGTCTGATGCCATGTTTTCCCTCGACTTTCGGCCCTACAACTATAAAGCCACAGATTCCAGACAAAATACAATCAATCAATAAATATATTAATATATATATGTATGTGTGTGTGTGTGTGTGTGTGTGTGACTACCTGTTAGAAAAAGGCCTAGCAAATGAATGAGTTTGTGTATATTCCATGTGGATAAGCAGATCTCTCCACATCTATGAATAAGTAATCAGTCTGCTCACGTCCTCTGGGATTTACTAACAAGAAAAGCAATCAGACACAAGCATGTGTAAAAGAAAAAGCAGCACTCGAAATCCAACTGTACCGGCCTCTCTTCTTTAACTTTCAAATGGGCACAACACAGGACGAGGGCGAAACATTTGAATCAGAGTCAACACAGCGCAGATGTTCACGAGCGTAAAATAAAAACAGATAAATAAATACTGCTCCCTCCCCTCCCTCGTCAGATATATGAGATGAGATGTCCGATAGTATTTTAAGACACCACTGGATGCTCGGACGAGAAATGACCTTTAGCTGAACTCAAGTAGTGTCACAAATATGCTCATTCTGATTTAGATGCTTCCCCCCCTCTCTCCCCAACATCCCCCTGGCAAAAAAAGAAAACAGAGGAGAACAAAAGGACAGTGAAATGTACCCTAATTCCAGCTGGAGACGATAATCCAGTTCAGAGGCAGCAAGGAAATGGGCTTGTGAGAGGCAGACCCAGCAAATACATGCAGATGAGAATGATTATCCTGCAGATGAGCGGAAAGATGAAAACTAATTTCATAATAAGACCAGAAAATTCTCCAAGATAACAGGGATCTAGAGAGCTATCCAAGACCCATCTGGCCCTGCACCCGCAACACGCTAGAGCCATTTTCCAGGCAGGAGCTGTCCATTTACACTGTGGTGCTGAAAGCTGTGGGGGAGAGGGGGGGGCAACATTTGTGCACACCGAACCCTGTGGTGTAAACCAATGACTTTACGACAGGCAGCTTCAACATTAATATCAGACATTAAAAAGGACAAAAACAAACACAGAGGTGGTGGATCTTAGATCACAGTAGAGATTTGAGGTTCTTGTATCTGGATTTCACTTGAATAAACTTCTACTTTGTTGTATTTCTAAAGGAAATAACATCCTTTTTTATTTTTTTTTTTACTAAAACCTGTTTTCACCAGTTGTTTTCAGCGGTTTCCAGGTTTTTTTTAATTTTTATTACCAATAGTGCACTTTGACTCAGTACAAGTATTCAGCTGCCGCACTGAAGTACATTTTGAGGTACTTGATTCCACTCGAGTATTTCCATTTTATTCTACTTCCTGCTTGTACTCCTCTGTTTGTGATGGAACTAATGTCCTTTTTTTATTCCCCTACATTGATTTAACACCTGTATTTACTGTTGGTTTTCAGTGGTAGAATGTAATGGAGTAAATTATGAGGAGCTTGATTACACTTCCACTAAATACTGTGCTTTTTACAGTTTGAATTATTATTTTACTTCAGTTTTTTTCATTTTATTCTACTTTCTACATCTACTTCGCTGTATTTATGATGGAAATCATTTCCTTTTTACTCCACTACACTGATTTAACACCTGTTCTCACTAGTTGTTTTCAGTGGTACAATGTATCTAAGTGGAGTATTTCAAGTTTTATTCTACTTTATAGTACATCTCAAGTAGAAATATTGTGTTGTACTTGTTAAACTACATTTAACTGGCATCTGTAGTTACTAGTTACCTCCAGAAGTGGAATATAACTAAGCACATTGATTCGGTTTCTGTAGTGTCGATGCATATCGAGGGATTTGTCTATAAAGTAGTTAGGAGTTTTATTGCTTTATGTAAAAGCTACTTTGGATAATAGGATCTGCCAAATGAGTAAATGTAAAAACTCCTTTGTGTATAAACTTTGCTTCATAACTTGCCTTGTTAAATTATCCTCTCAAACGTGCTTTTCAGCATGAGGTGTACTTCAGCAACACTTTGTACCTCCACATTTAACATTTCCAGGAAACATATAAGCACTTGAACGGTTCATCAACACGCTACAGTGGAGCTGTAAGCAAACACAAGGTCATTTTAACCATATGTTGTTTAAACATATTTACATTTTTGATGCAGTTTGCTTTTGTGTTGTTTCTCGTGGTGTCGACCTGAGGATATGTGATCCATAACAGAACAGCAGCGTTACCTCGCAGTCACTTTATGAGTGCACCCTCGCGTTAACCGTGTCATTTGTGCCTCTCTTTAAATGTCATTGGGAGGCTTTCACACCTCCCCACCAAAACATGCATTACTTTTGTCTATCTGCTTGCACCTTGGCAGAACACCGACTACACAAAGACACATATATCTCCTTTTTTCTGGGGGCTGATTAGGATGCAAATTACCTTGTCATGTCGTGCAACAGCCTCTAAACTAAAACTGTACATTTGTACAAGCGCATACTTCAGCCTGGCTGGAATGAAATACACAATACCCTCCCACACTGTCTGTGTTCTGTCTCTTCATTTGTTTAACATTATATAGGGCAATGGGAATATATACAACTCTGTAAAACTCTGCTGTGTCCCAGATTTTGCAGGTCCTTCTGCTAAGAGGTTATTGATATGTGTATTTCCATACAGGTGCAATAGACCTACAAAAAATAGGGTATGTGGGGATCAGTTTATCACAAGGTGTTTTGTTTTTTAAACTAGGGGAAAGGTTCAGTCGAAGATTATTGTTTCTGCAAATGCACTCTTTTGTGCATGAAACAATGCATTGTTGAGCCATGCTAATGCTGACCCACAAACAGCCAAAGATCACTTACCTTGCCAACATAGAGCGGTTCATTTCCTGTGTACTCCTCCAATACGAAGAACTGGTTCCATACCCAGCTGCGTTTGTGCCTGTGCAGGACGTCCCAGGGGTCTGGATCTGAGTGCGGGGACCTCTCCAGATCCCCAGAGCTGGGATTCAGCCCCCAGCAGCCCCTCTCCTGCAAGGGAAGCAGGAGTGCCAGGAGAGCCAGGGCTCTGCATATGCCTGAGCAACACCACCCCATCATCTGGGCCCCCCTCCAAAAAAGCACTGAGGCCAGAAGAGAAAAATTAAAAAAAAAAAAAAAAAAAAAAAAAAAAAAAAAGGACAGAAAAGCTGAAATGTCAAAACCCTCAGGGTTTTATCCACACAGTCCTGACCCTGTGTTTCACCAGAAAGCAAGAGCAGTCAGACACTGAAACGAGCGCGTGGGTTGAAAAAGAGTCAAGCTCTGCATTTTGCTGTGTTGCTCTTCTTTTTTCCTCATTGGAGACTAAAAGTGGGGTAATTCCCTCCACTTTGGAGCCGGGGAGTTGACATTAAAGCTGGCTAACAGGGTCAATGGCGGCCGGGGAGGCTTCAACACACGGGCTGTATAATTGGCACCTATCAGAAGAGAGAGAGAGAGAGAGAGAGAGAGAGAGAGGGAGGGGTAAAATGAAAAAAAAAGGAGAGAGACAAAGACATAGAGGAGAGAAGAGAGAAAGTACTGTCAGCAAAATTGCCCGTGTGACCGCTGTCACTTTAGACGTGGAGTGATGGGCCTGCTGATGCAACCATAATGACATTTTTCACCAATCATGAGGAAATTGGTCAAAAAAAAAAAAAAAAAAGAAAAGCAAAAATGAATAGAATAGTAAATACAATCAGCACAACGTCCTTGACATACACACTCTCACCTACACACACACACATAACAGAGAAAGTGGGTGAGGTCAAACTGTTAATAAGGGGTGTGTGTGTGTGTGTGTGTGTGTGTGACCCGGCTTTTTCAACGCACATAAGCAAAGAGATTGCAGAGCGAATGAAACAACAGCGGCTGCACGGAATAACAATCAAACGCCATTCAGCTGCCTCCCAATTATCTGGGCTTTACCTCACCAAGGTCGTTATTTTGTCATATTTTCCTTCGTATAAGATCATGGCGTAATGGGTGGCGGGAGGGGAGAGGGAGAGGAGGGAGGGGATGGGGGGGGGGGGTAGGAATCGCCACTCTAACGCTAACAAGCCACATGATCTGTGATGGCGAGCTCTCATCACTGAGATTAAAAATAAATCTGAGCTGTCAGCAGCATGATGGCCCGAGCGCTCCTGACCTCTACTCCCGAGCAGTTTGTTTTGTCGGCCTGAGCACATGCGAGGGA